TGCAAGGATCATACAGCATTTATATAAGAGATAATAAGAATTTACAGCAGTTGACTTTAAACCAGATTTTACAGCTATGTTCCAAGATTTGTTACAATAAAGGTTCAATAGACTGTGTGCAGTGGATGACATTGAAGTTTTTGACAGCTGGTCGATTTGGCGATTTAATTAAAGTCTCTCAATAATCTTAGTAAGCCTGGATAGCCTCAGAATTTTAGAGAGTCAAATCATATTGTAAACACTTGTATTTTATTTTCTTCGGGAGAAGATATTTAGTTTTTCAGGAGAGAAATTTTGTTGAAAGGATTTCAACATTGTAAGTCGAGGGGATCTCGTCAATCAAGTCTATTAAGAAATTGCAGTTTATAAACGTTTTGTTTTGAGAGGGAGTTTTGAGGAGTCATAATTGAGTTGTAAGTTTGAGTTCTTAGTGGATTGATCATTATTTGGGTGAGACCCCACGGAGTAAGTGGTTACCGAACTGCGATACCAATCTCTTGTGCCTATTTTCTATTTTGAGTTCTATATTCATTTGTTGAATCAATTTTAATAACAAACTTGGTAAATAGACTAAACCGGTAACAACTTATAAATATTTTACCTAGCGTAAATACATTATTTACTGATAAGTAAAGTATTGATACCGAATAAATTTCAGTAAATCAATATTTACTAATAAATAATGGTATTTGCTTTAAAAACATATGAAAAAAAACATGCAATGTAATATACTTATTGCTTATTAATCTAATTTTGAATCTTTACACAACCAATAACATATTTAGTTCTTATTAGAGTTATTAATTAACAAACATCATTTTTTTAAACGGAAAATTTCATCAATAAATTAACAAATTGCACAAATAGTCGCAAATGACCACAATCTATAAGGGAATTCAATCCTAAACATTGACTAGATCCACCAGTGAAGACGGACGAAGCACAAAGGTGAACATAAGTGTCGAGACCTAATGGGAAAAAAACCCGTTCAGCACAAATAAAATCGAGCGGGACCAAAACTCGTTAACAAGAACCACTACAGTCGATGGATAAAACCAATCGACCGACACCAAACCCCTAATACATGGGACACAAGCAACATGGTCTAGAAACAAATCTACATATAAACACACACACCGTCGATAACCAACTCAAATAGGTGGGACGCATAAACAAAATCAGAATATGGGGAAACCACCTCATTTATTACAATACATAAACTTAGCGAAAATAACGCCCTTATTAAAATTAACAAAAGACAATAAAACCTATGAATAGTCTCAATCATACAGGAATATATGTTGATGACAAGCCAACAACCATTGTATGGAAGTCAAAGAAACTGGAACTGAGCAGAACTATCACAGCAGAAGCGCAACCTCCACCGATGAAGCTGAACACAAAAACAACCCGAATGTTGCCCTTGCGCCACATATCCACCAGCAACCTCCCGCTTTACACCAAATCTACGCCTCTATTGCCAATAGACCGTGCCCATCAACCACCGACCACAGCCACCATCTCAAGGGTCAAGAGTTTGGCAACCAACCAGTGGTTGATCTAGACTCCGGCCCTAAGAAGAGATTCTAAACTCAAAATCCTATCAACCTCACGAGAGGGAGAAAAAGAGAGAAGAAAAAAAAAACCTTTAATTCGTGAAATCTAATTTGATGTTAAGAAAAAAGAAAGAAAAAAGAAAAAAAAAACATCATCTATCTATATAGAAGAAGTGTGAAAGGTATACTTTCACATCTCTCTTTCAACCAAAACGGCAACATTTTCGTTTAAAGATGTTTTATTTTTATTTTTATTTTTTATGGATCATTTCCTTTTTTTTCTAGTCTTTTTTGACTTCTTGCCCAAAAATTTAATTTTTTTATTTTGGTTCTTTTTTCGGATTTTATATTCAAATTTAAATGCATTTAATAATAACATGATAATTAAAATTTAACATACAAATTACTCTCCACGTACATAGCACATGAACTTCAACTAGTATAGAATAAGCTTTGTAACGGGTTAAATTTATTATCTAAAAAGTTAGTAATTTTGTGTAAATAAAAAACTTAGTACATATTGATAGAAAAATGTATCTAATTTAGGATTTCATCAAAAGTAAACCTCTAATTTATTAAATTTGATCATGGGTGAATTCGGAATTTACCATAGAAATATGAAAATTAGTGAGTAAATCTCAAATTTGCTGTTATTTATGACTTTTTAAAAAGTTTCTACAATTTCTTTTATCCTGCTCAGAAAATATAAGTTATCTTCTTCTATATTATTTCTCATTTGTTTCCACTACTCTAATCATGACTTTTTTTTTTGTTAAGAACTAAGACCTGGTAAATTTTTACTCATTTGTCGTTTAAAAGTCGCTCGCTCGTATTGACTCGTCTAAAAAAGACAGCGAGCGCAGTGGTTGACTAAATGGGCTCCAAAACTTTCGAGTTATCGTTGGAAATGATTCCAAGCAATTGCCACAATATTATAATGTTGACAAGATGGCATAAAGATACAAGAGATAAAAGAGAATGATAAGACTAGAAAGTTTGATCTAGTCAGGATTGAGACGTTAAGTGAATTCATACATCCGATTCATTAGTCTTAAGCTTTGACGATTATGGCGTGGTCAGTACCTAATCAAAAGATTAGAAAAAGGTCCGAGTTTGAGAATGGTTACCCTACAAGTTACATTGGACCATTTCGGTCTTACCAGCAGGACCAACAATTTTTTTTTTTTTTTTTTTTTTTTGCTGATCGCATACAACCAAATTTAAAGAGGTTAACCAGATAACACATGTAGCACATCGAGTTGAAATCTGCTGTCTTAAATTTGTGTCTAATAATTGTTCCCTCAATCAATTTTTGACACCGCGTCACCTATGGTAAAGTTTTAAAAACGGAGTTACTTAACGGATATAGGCTATGATTTACAGCTATATCTGATTCTGATCCAAAACTTTATTCTTTTTTCTGACTTTTTTTTTTCCCTCTCCTCTCTTTCCTTATTGCTTTTTACCGGTGAGTCTCGCTTTCTTAAGATGAAACTTTTTTTTTTTTTTTCTGTAACATGTATTGACCAAAAGAAGAAGTAAATTAATCTGAGATTCCATCAATGGCCTTCACAGCAAAAGTAAGAACTCTAAAGAAAATAGGGGAATGGGTCTTCATGATTGTTTTCCCAGAAGATTAACATCAATACAACTGCCATTAATGTCCGCGAGAGCAGCAAAATAGCAACAAGCTCATGACTTCCTTTTCGTTGTCTTTGATGACTGGCAGTGCAATTGTTAGGAGAAGTAATTTGAATCGTCTTCTCACGAATGCCCAATCTACCATTTCTGTTTGCCCTATCCTCATCTGCATCACCTCTTCACTCTCTCCACCTTCGATCTGAACAATCAACCAGCGACGACGATTATCGACGCCCATCCCAAAGATTCCTAGCCGAGAATAAATCTAACCGTAGGGCTTTTAGCGAAATTGAGCCGCGATTCTCTGAACAAGAATGGCGACGGGAAGAACGGCAGTGGCAATTGCCGAGAAGATTTTATATTTCTCCATTTAGTTCCTTTTTAATAAAATAATTCCAAAGACGTTTCAGAAAAAGAACCAAAGAAGAGTCCCCAACGTTGTTAATAGGCTTCTACTCTTATTGAAGTCTATTATTTGATAAAATGTTAATGGCGACAATTGTAGACCACTTACACGATAGACGTTATAAGATATATTTTTTTTTACTCTGACGTTAAATAACACTGTTTATGATGGCGTCCGATGTGTAAAACTAAAGTGATGTGTCAAAAATTCATTAAGGGGACAGGCAGATTTGGACTCGTAGCACATCACGACTAGGTGACTTCGAGTCGTTTAGTTTACTCATTTAAATTTTTAATTTAAATTTAGATATAATTTTATGTGAAATTTTTTTATTGTAATAAAAAAATTATATGTGATTATTTTTAGAGTTTTAAACTTAAATAAATGAAATAAATGATACTTAAATATCATTCACTTTGTAAATTTGAGTTTTCAATTCGAATTGAAATGTGATATTTTTTAAAAAATTTTAACTGTAGTAAAAAAAATTAAATGTAATATTTTTTAAAAAATTTTAACTGTAAAAATTTAAAATTAAAAATTCAAATTGATAAAATGAACGATACCTTAATTTCACTTTTTTCCGGTCAAACTAATATTCTTTTTTAAAAAAAAATTAAAACTTACACTCTTTAGACTTTTTTTTGTGGATAATCTCTTTAGACTATTTTCGTTTCTTTATAAAAGTTCCCTTCACTTAGAATTAGTGTGTGTTTAAGTCCACTGAAAAAAAAAAAAAAGAATTAGAAAGCAAAATTGATCAACTGTTATAATTATAATAATAATAATAATAATAATAATAATAACAATAATAATAATAATAATAATAATAATAATAATAATAATAATAATAATAACAACAACGGATAGTATTATTGTGTTGTTCGACGTGACAAAGGAAAGTAGAAAAACTAGAAATCTTGTTTTATTTATAATGTACTAAAATAAAGAAAAAACGTTTTACTTAACAATTAACTACTCTAGCTATCATGAGCTTTCTACATTACTCACTCACTGAGAGTGGATGTCTATAAACTTAAAATCCGATGAAATTCACATCAAAATTAAAAAAAAAAAAAAAAAAAAAAAAAAATCAAAAAAAAAAAAAAAAAAAAAAAAAAAAAAAAAAAAAAATTAAGCGATAAAACTAATGGATATAGGACAGCTCAAATACAACTGTATTTTTTATTTTCATTTTTTTTGTAGAAACCTCAAATACAACCTTCTTGGTAGATTTTTTTCCCCCACCCCACCGGCCCTGGAATTCTCAGAACAAAATACACAATTTCATTGGAAAAGTGTGTTGGGAAATGATTGTATTCTATTAGATGTAGTAAAGAATAAACACGAAAGGAGAAACGACGTAAATCATGTCTTTTCTATCTCCGAAACTGAACAATTATATAAAAATTTCTTATTTCCAATATTTTTTTTTTCATTTGTTTTAATTATAGAACTCACAAAAGTTTAGATAATACAATGGCTTTTCTTTTTCAAACAAGTTGACATGCCTAATTCTTTTGACTTCAAGATACATATCTACATCAGCCAAACATTGACTTCCTAGCCATATTATACTTTTTAACATTAGAAAATATGCCGGTGAACACAAAACGACAGTCTCCCAAGAAAAAAAAAAAGCCCCACCTGTAGGGAACCAAGTTTGGAAGCTGGAGCTAAGAACGAATATTACTTTGAAGCATGCGCAGGAGAGAGATGCTACCCTGAGTTCTGGTTCTTTCATCCGCAGAAAACTTCTTTACGCCTCGATTTCCCTGCAAATTAGTTTTGAACTCATTAGAAAAACGTTCAAGGACTGAACATAGAGAGTGGAATTATAGAGAATTTGTATGTCATCCTTTCCGCAAATTATAGGCCAAAGACTATAACTACTAACTTTCAGCGTGGCATTTATCTAATTTTCCGACACCTAAATTTCAAGTACTTTTGCTAGGAGAGGGGAAGTAGAGAGAAACCAAACAAAAATTTTACCTTCCGTTTCTCACTTTTATCCTCAGCGTCAAGAGTATTGAAGTCCCTTAGTAGCACGGATGAGGCTGGCAAAAGTCTCCTGATCATAATAACAATATTGTAATACAGAATTTCAGAAGGAAAATTCATATTAATGCACCAAAGGCCGTCCAATTGATGCAGCTCACTTACCTTTTTGGTTTTCCTGGTTTTGGGGGAGTATGAACCCTTTGTTCACTACTTGGCGGATCGACAACTTTGCAGTGTTTGGTGATTCCTATATCTTCCTTGGCCGATTCCTTACTTAGCGTATCAACATCTTTGCATTCTTTACTGATTACTAGATCTTCCTGAACTGAATCATTACTTAATGGATCAATATCTTTGCATTCTTTATTGATTGCTTGATCTTCCTGAACTGATTCATTACTTAGTGGATCAACATGTTTGCATTCTTTACTCATTGCTAGATCTTCCCGAACTGATTCCTCACTTAGTGGGTCGACAACTTTGCATTCTTTACTCATTGCTAGATCTTCGCGAACTGATTCCTCACTTAGAATATCAACGTCTTTGCATACTTTACTGATTGCTAGATCTTCCTGAACTGATTCATTATTTAGTGGATCAATATCTTTGCATTCTTCACTAATTTCTTGATCTTCCTGAACCAATTCATTATCAACACCTTTGCATTCTTTACTAATTGCTAGATCTTCCTGAGCTGATGTTGATGGATCCAGCAATTCCTAGGAAAGACAAGAGAATAGAAAACCATATATCACGATTTAAGGGGTTGTTTGGTTGGGGATTCGTACCCCGATTCGAATCATGATTCATGATTCGTTACAGTGTTTTCTCTCACAAAAAATACATGTAAATCGAAAATGGTTCTAATCTCATAATTCTAATCCATGAACCAAACATCTCCTAAGTCTTCAAATCACAAAAGGTGATTTTATGACTTTTAAAATAGGGTAATCACTTCCATCAAAACGTATGGGGAAAAAAAAAAAAAAAAAAAGATATTCACCCTGGTAATGCGTTAAGGTTCTAGTTTTAATCATCTTAAGAACTAAACTTTCATGGTAATAGTCAAAAACCTGGGAGGGAAAACAAAACAATAACAATACCTCTGGTTTCTCAACTCCTGATTCACTATTCACAACATCAGGAGCAGTATAGCCTTCAGAGTATTCAACATCGTCCTTCGCGATTTTCGGCAGATTTAATAGTTCCTGGAAAAGTAGGATAGTGAAATGTCAGAAGGTTCCTTTTATCAGGCTGCAAATCAAACCGCTCATAAATGCTAGAGTATAAGCGGTTTTCAGAATCAACAGGTTAAAAACATCTTATAATTTTGATTATCCGACAATCAAAATCAAGTACAAGTACCTGAAAGGTTCGTCCATTTAGAAAATCTGTGGTTTTGTAAATGTACTCTGCTTTAAATACCATAACTCTGGGGTGCAACGTAAGCAGTATACAAGCATATAAGATTAGTTATTATTCCTAGGAGATTAGGTTGGAGAAGATTCATCTAGTACGAAATTAACATGAAAAGCTAATTACTAAAGCAAATGAGAGATGAGCATTGTAAAACTCAAACCATAAAAAACTTCAATTTCTGACCTGATCCTCCTCGTTGACCAGCTGGTCCAAGTCCAACTCCACGGATGAACAGCTATCTCTACGCCTAACAAGTGGCTGTGAAGAGTTTACTGTGTGATAGGAAATAAAGGAAAACTATAAGCTATTGGCTTTATCTAAGATCCATGCTGGAACTACAGTATCTACTAGATCGAGAAGTTGACACAGAAAAATTATATTATGCCTATCCAACGCACAGTCAAAAATGACAAGGCAGTTAGAAAAGGCATGAGTTAATAGAGTGACTGCAAAAGAATCAGAAACTTTAGGGTGCATTTGGTTACACTAGGAAAATGGTAATAGAAATGCAATGGAAAATAAAGTTGATTCATTTGTTTAGTTGTAATTTTAAGAATTCTCTGAAATAAAATGTAATATAATATAATAAAATTATTATTATATAATATATTATATAATTATGATATATAATATAACAATGTTATTGAAATTGTTAATATAATTATAATATTATAATATATAAAATGTAATATAATATAATAAAATTATTATTATATAATTATGATATATAATATAACAATATTATTAAAATTGTTAATATAATTATAATATTATAATATATAAAATGTAATATAATATAATAAAATTATTATTATATAATTATGATATATAATATAACAATATTATTAAAATTGTTAATATAATTATAATATTATAATATATAAAATGTAATATAATATAATAAAATTATTATTATATAATTATGATATATAATATAACAATATTATTAAAATTGTTAATATAATTATAATATTATAATATATAAAATGTAATATAATATAATAAAATTATTATTATATAATTATGATATATAATATAACAATATTATTAAAATTGTTAATATAATTATAATATTATAATATATAAAATGTAATATAATATAATAAAATTATTATTTTATAACTATATTGTATTATAATATTTTTTATTATATATTATATTATATTATATTATAAGATATAACTACTATATAATATATTTTAATTATATTATAATATTGAAGGGTAATTATGGAAAAAAATAAAAAATAACTTAGAATGGTCATTCCTCCCATTAAGGAAGGAATGATGATTCACCCAAAATGAGTGAATGACCATTCCTTTTAAATGATCATTCTTTTCTTTTAAATCCAACCAAACATCTAACTACAATTCCATTCCATTCTATTCTATTCCTTTCCACCCAACCAAACACACCCTTAGTAGCTAGGCCGCCACACAATATAAATATCTCTCAGGAAGCAAAAAAAAAAAGGGTTATAATCTTATATGGCATCCAATTGCATGCCGTCAATCATGGTGATCTATATCTGCTGACTCAACTGAGAGTAGCATGCCAGTAGCATTTTTAATTAACCGGATTTTGAATTGTAGAACAGCAATAGTTAAAAGATAAATAACAAATGCGAACTCTTCAAATCAAACCTGTCACTTCTGCAGTACTACAAGTATCATTTGTTTCCAAGCACCTAGATCCGTGTAACTCAGCATTATGGGCAGCACCAGAAAAGGTTACATCTATCTGATATAAAATGCACAGAAGCTATGTCAAATAAGGAAGACATCAAATGTATGCCATTGTATAAAGATCTCCATTTCCGTGTAGCTCATACCTGATATCTCTGCTGAGAGGTCTCAACACAGAGGGATGAACCAACAACCACGTCAACATCAAACCTTCTCTCCTAGAAGTGAGGAAAAGGTTTTTTCAGTCTATTAGTGCAATCACTTTGAAAAAGTGCAAACGTAATCAGGTGGCTCTGCCTTACCGGATTAGATACACCTTCCTTGTCAACAGACTCCAGCCCTTTTAAATCAGAGGGAAATGCTTCCTCTGTCACCTAGACATACAACTATGTACCTCAATATTTGCATCCAATTCCAGTATAAATCCCCATTTCTCTTTGACTCATTACCTGAGATTTCCGCCGTAAGATTTCAGCGCAATGTGATGAACCATAAACCACGTCAACATCCAAACTCTTTGCCTAGAAATGAGGAAAATGTGTTTCAGTCTATCAGATGCTTTTACTTTGAGGAACTGCAAGAGTATCAGTTGACTCCTTTTGGGAGAGGAGGGGAAAAGATAAATGGATAAATACTTGTTCAATTTTGGTGCACTCTCCTTTTAAGTCTGAAGTAAAATCTTCTTCTTTCACCTACAAATGAAACTAATGGGTTAAAAACTTTCAAGTTCTAAGTGTTACAGGAGCAAGAAGCTAAATAACTATGGACCATATGTGCCTCCCATGCAAAACTTGTTTCCGTATTCTGTGGATGAAATATTAAAACATGAACTTAGAGTTGATGGTTTTCACAACATTTCAAAAGAAAGCAGAATACAGTACCTGTGCCTGTGAAAATATACTTTGATTCTGTTCAAAATTAGAGTCACACTTTTTTGAAGAACTTTCGTTCCCAGATGCCATTTTGTTGGAAGAATGAACTTCTACATTTTTCTGCAGAGAGAGAGAGATTTAGTTAACAGAAAATTAAGAGAAAATCCAGTTCACAGAAAATTAAGAGAAAATCCACATGAAATAGTGGACTATATATCGCTACCTGACAAGATATAACTTTATCCTGTCTTGGCCCAGAGTCATAATTTTTGGGGTTGCAATTTAACTGAGATGGGCTAAAATTGAAAGAACACAGGTCTGCAGTTGACTGAAAATTGAGAGAAATAGAGAATTATTTTCCAAAACATAGGAGACGTACCTCATATTTAAATTGGTAAGGAGATAAATAGTTGAAACGTAAGAAGTTGCGGACAGTTAAGCAACAAAAAGTACGTCAGACCTTATTAAAATTGCTAGAATCAAGTCCATTCAGTTCTACTCGAGGCTTAAATTTAGTCTCTGCCTCTGCAGACTTCTGCTGTGAGCAGGTACAACATGACATAAAATCCTCCAACTTCTTTTCCAACTCAACATTCCTTGTCTTTTCAAGCTTAAGGTTTTCAGTAAGATGCTGAATTTCATGTTCTGCCACCTAATCCATGCCATGGCCAGAGAATATAGATTAATAAATTATTCAATAATTTACCGTTGAGACAGCATCCACGCTATGAAACCATATATGACAAGGGAACCTATCATAACGTAAATGTTAACACATACCTTCAGTTTTTCTCCATATTGCTTCAAGACAGACCATAAAGCTTTAGAAAAATTTTGCAAAATCTGATAACTTCTATCTCTGTCTGCCATGTCAACGTAGTTTGATTCTAAAGGTGCACAATCAGGAATTTCTTATTAGAAGATTATTGGGTCCTCTCAAAGAACTAAATTAATAACCTTAGAAATTCATTATACCTTTTGAACAAACTTGCCCAGGGGTGCGGTGCTCTTCCTCATAGGTCTTTCTTTCGCCAATCTAAAACCAACAGCAATTACAGTACAGTAATAACGAACATGCTTGATAATGGTGTAATACTCCAAAATTTTATGAAATGACAGCAGACAACTTCATAAGTTATGTGCACATGTCGCTAACCGAATCAGATTATGTGACGATTATCAATTGTAAGTGCGAAAGTAAAGTAGTCAAGGACTGCTTGCTGTGTAAATATAAGACAGTTTTGAAGACAATGAGGTGTCTCTGCAGGTCAGTTTTATGACCATGCAGCCTAAAAATGTTTCATCAAAACCATGGTAAGTTGGTAACATAACAAAGAACTGAAATAGCAAATCACATCTAACGTCACTAATTGAAGTGGGGAAAAGAATCTTATTTGAGTCGCGTGCAGAAGGTTGACATTTAAAGGGAAAAAATTAAATACCGCACAAGCATCAGGCCCACTAAATTTCATCCTCTTCGGTTTCTCTCGTCTAGACAAAACTTCATTTTGCCTCTTGTTTGAAGGGATGTTTGATTGTTCTTCAACATTATCAAACCTATACAGCAAATGGAACATTAATGCCAAACCAAAGTAACTTGAAACTAGGAGCACTTGAGGGTCTAGCCTTACATTATTCTCATAAATGGTGAAGCTTGCCTTAGAAGGTAGGTTGCATCAAGATAATCCTCTTCCCCTGACTTAACTGTCAACATCTAGAATTATAGCCAAAAACATGAGATACTTTCAGAAGTTAAGATAAGAAGGGAACTATAACTTTTCCACAACTCATAAACTAGCCAGATCAAACAGATAAGGGCATACCAAAGCCATCCTCTTCTTGCCTTCCAAATAATCTCGTAGGTACCTGGTCAACTGTCCAGGGAAAAGAGTCAGATTTCTGGCCCATACTTACATTTTAATTATAATGTCATGTCGGAGAGATCAAAAGGTCTTTGAAACAGAATGTTTAGTAGCGATGCAGGGTTATAAACGTTATAGGGAGCAATTACCAATGAGTTCTGAAAATGCTTCTGCAATGGCCTCTTGGGGTTCTTTTGATGCTCCAACAAAGACTAAAACAAAGAAAACAACACAATAGCATGCAGCAACAGAACCACCAATTTAAATATCAAAAGCACCCAAAAAGAAAGAAAGAAAGAAAGAAGAAGAAAGAGAAAAAAAAATACTCTAGTCCCTAGATTCTATTAGGAGGTCAGGGCACGTACTCTTAGACACAAGCCAAAAACCATTGATGTATTGTTGATGAAATTACTTTCCAGCAACCTTGCTCCCTGAAAAATAATAAACAGAAATTGCATCTCATCTACAATCAATCAAATAAACAGAAATTGCAGCTCCAAATATGCAGTCTTGGAGGGAAAATGTGTTGTACAAAAATAATTCCATCACATAAACACAAAATTGACGAACCTGATTCCCCGTTTTCTTTTCTCTTTCAGCTCCAGCAAGGTCAATGATATTTAGAACAGCATTATTGGCTTCAGAATCATCTTCTCCGTCAGGATTATTACGAACACTACTGATTTTGATAATGCACTGCGATCGGCTAAATGTATGGAAACATAAAGTAAAAGAAAATCATACGGGGCTTCTTGGAAATTGGTTAAGGCAAAAAGACATGTAACTAATACCAGATTGTTGAGTAACCAAACACAAAATTATGGAGGAAAATAAGCACATGCATAAATATGTAGAGAATTCTGCAACTACAGGACTAAATAGCTAGGCTTCATTGCACCTTGATTGGGTATTTGAATTTGTCATAGCAGTGAGACGTCTTAGCATTGCCTGAGAAACTAATGATGCTGCCTCCCTAGCATCCGAAACAATTACCTATTAATAGAAAAGCATGCATACAAGTTACTATTCGAACCCATTATCATAACTCGTTCAAAACTCAAATTAGATATTCAACCTCTTGGAGTCCCTTTACAGTTGACTGGCGCATGCTTAACTCTGCTCCACCTGGCAACAAGTCAAACAACTTCTCTCCTTTTCCTCGTTCGGAGAGTATTTCAAAAATCGAAATGTTGAATGATCTATAGACATACCATACCGAAGAATTAAAGATACAATGGTTCATTAACAGATTTTGTCAGATTGACGTGAGTGCTAATCAACAAAACAAATTGAAAAGGACATTCACATCTAACCAATTACCTCCGGGAAACCGAAGCAGTGTCCAAAGCTGGCTTGAAAATCCGTTGAAGCGTACGTGGTACAACACCAGGGTCCCTAGGGCACCCGAAAACGGTATGAGTTTTTCCAGACCCGCTAGGTCCTAACGCTGCTATCATACCACTTTTGCCCCTTAGAAAATCCTCGACTAAAGGGTTCATCATTTTCTCATACACTTGCTCCTATTAACAGCAAAAAGAAAACCTTTTTCACGTAAATATATCATCATATCCAATCCAATTACTGAGATCCCAATTAGAAAAGGAAAACAGAAGAGGGAAAGTTTAACCTGAGAAGAATCTGGGGCAAATACGTGCGAAAATCCTTCGAAGACTTCCGACTTAATCCGTTTAGAGTCCTGCAATGACGAGGGCGGGGATAGAGTCACCGACTGAGAATCGTTGACTATAATGCACACATCGCTAGACTTGTTCTTCTTCGCAGTCTTTTCTCTCGCAGAGTTCTTCTTCGCGGGGTTTTGCGGCCAAGCGTTTTTGGCTCTCGATTTGGGATTCTGCGGAAGACTCGTGGATGGCAGAAGGGGTCGGATTCTGAGGAAGACTCTGAGATTTTCGGAATCGGAGTCTGAATTAGGTTTAGGGTTTCTACTAGGAACCTCTATAGCTAAAATTTCATCAATCGGAAAGGAAGGCACCTCCGGCACCGTTGAAGAAGAAGGAAGAACCGAAGTTTGAGGGCATTTTGTGGAAGTCGTTGGAGGCCTTGCCTTCCGGTGTGGGTTCCGGCGAACGGTGACGGTGTACGGACACGACAGAGGACTCTTTCTTGCCTCCTTCATTCTCTGCTTCTGAACTGAGGCTCTTGCTCTGTTGCTTCGTCTGCTCTCTTTGCTTTTCTTTCTTCTGGAATTGGCGGAAAATTCAACTTTTTAAAAGCGTCAAATACTCGATTGAAATGAACATTTAATTTTCCTTTCTGTCCCTGCAGAATTTTTTTTTTTTTTTTTTTGAGAAGTGTCCTGTAGAGAATTGAAAATGACGGTGCATTTAGAATTTGTTCCAAAATAATTTTATTTTTTGTATGAAAATAAAAATGAAAATATTTTTATTTTTATTTTGGAATAATTTCTAAAAATACGTTTGATAGTTTTATTTTGAAATTGTTTTCAGTTTTAAAAAAACTGAAATTGTGTTTGGTGGTTTAATTTTTAAAAACATGTAATAATATTTAAAATAATATATATTAAATAAATAATAATATTAAATCTATTAAATAATAATATATTAAATAAATAATAATATTAAATATATTAAATATATTAATATAACATTATATATGTTAGTTAGGAAATGTTAACGATGGTGGCGGGAGAAGAGTGGGGGGAGGCGCAGTCGCAGACGGTCGCAGAGCTGAAGAGAGAAAACGAAATAATGAAAACGGAAATAAATCGTTTTCAGATTTTCAAATAAGGATAAGATCGTTTCTGTTTTTAAGTTTTAGAAAATTTTACGCCAAACGCGTTTTTATTACGCGTTTTCGTTTTCGTTCTCGAAAACTGTAAAAAATGGAAACGAAAACGGAAACAAACAGGCCCGACAAATCTTATCCCTTTTGAATTATTGGTATTGTAACAAAATGCTCCTTAAAGTTTAAAAATAATAAATTTTTTCTCTGAACAATTCGTCGTTAGCACGTGTCCTCTTTTTCCGTCCCCTCGGTTTGAACGTTAAGTGACACGTAAAAGTCGCTGAGGCATTTAATTTTAATTCTATTATAAAATGACGATTTTGCTCATCCAAGCCTACTCCAAGACCACTACAAACATATGACGATTTCCCTCTCCCCCTCTCTCCCTCTCATTCTCACTACCTCTCTCTCTCTTTCTTCTTTCTTTGCACGTGAAAAACCAAGCCCCATTGCTACTTTGAGCTGCCACTATTCGGCCTCCGGCCGTCACCAAATGCCGACCACCCATGGAGCCCGCCAATAAAAACCTTCGGAACCGGAATCTCGCCGTTGATCTTGTCGTTGTTCACCTACAAGCGTCGGTTAAAGTTTTGAACCATTTTGTCTCCACATCGAATTCCAAGGCCATCTGACCTCCGTTTCGCTGGCAAGTTGTACCATCATATTCCCCTCACTAAGTGGAGCAAAACCCATGTGATTACTTTCCCGATCGGTGTCGAAGGAGCTCTAATGTACCGCCTCCGTCTATTTTAAGGTTTGGGCATTTTCCTGCAAACCGAACGTCATTTGGAGAAATCGACCCCGGATAAATGTTCTTCACTTCGAGATCTTCGATTTGACACACATCCCGCCGACCTCCCATCCCGATCAATGCTGGTCAACGGTGAGTTTGACCAGTCAATGGCTGGGCTTAGATGGGCAAAATCATCATTTCATAATAGAATAAAAATTAAATGCCTCGGCGACTTCTACGTGTCACTTAACGTTCAAAATTTAACCGAGGGGGCGGAAAAAGGGGACGCGTGCTAATGGTGAATTGTTCAGGGGAAAATTTTGTTATTTTTAAACTTTAGAGGTCATTTTGTTACGAGACCAATAGTTCAGGGAGGGCAAGTGTAATTTGTCCAATTGAAAATGCAAAAGAAGAGGGAAATTAGAAAGAAAGAAGTAAATTATTATCGGGCTTGATTTTTACTATTTCTTGTAGTCCCTTTGATCTGAACATAAATTCACCACTTGTTTAAATTTTTAAAACTTCAAACCTATAAAATAAACAAAGACTAAAAAAAAATAAAAACAAACCCCCTGATTGGTTCGCTGGTTCGAATTTTATTGATTTAAATTTTTTGTTTGAACAAAAAAAGTTGAACTGTGTGATTTAAATTGTAGTTTGAATTGACGTTTGGATATACAATTAAAATTTTAATCTAAAAGCGAATAAAATTTGAATTTGTGTTTGGTATATGTAAAAGAGAGAGAGAGAGTAGACACCTTTTTACTGTTAAAAAATAGTTTGAACAGTTGAGCTTAAGAGTGGAGCTAAATTCGAAGTTGAATAGTTTAACTCAGTTCAAAAGGAGGAATATAATTTGAACTGTGGGCTTACCAAGCATGAATTTAAACTATACTCACTGTTCGAACTGAGTTGAATTGAGCTAAACCAGTAAAACAAATGGAAGCAAAACTTGATAATGCAACTAGAAGTTTCTGCCTTCATAGTAATGCACAAAGATTCTATACCAATAGAATACAAAACAATTCTTACAATCTAGTATAAATTAGGGTATATAGTACTTTTAATTTTAAAATGCATACCATTTTTAACAATGTTTTTAATGTAAATATCAAGGTTATTTTTTACAACAATGTATAGTATTGTTTCAAATGCTATATTTACTTTTTAACTATAATTATTAAGTATTGGTACTTTTAAAATCAAACTTTGAATTTCAAAATAAATTGAAAATAATAATGTTGTAATGATAGAATTAAATGCAAAAGTTTTGGCATGTGTTATGTTAGTGCCAAATTTATAATCAAGTGTAGCATGTGTTAAATTTAATACAAAAAGCATACTGCGTTAGAAAATATTTTTATCGCTCAAATATCAAATTAGGCATTAACACACTAGTAATGGCATTCCCAATGCAATGACAAATTAGTGTGTCATGTCAAATTTAGGTATGCTCTTTTTATAACTCAAGTCACAACGTAAACTTTTTTATATAAGAGAAAACATTACAAAAAAAAAAGTTAAATTTGAATTTTTATAAGTAAAAATATTGTAGCAAAAGAACTTGAGTAGTAAAATCACACTCAGTGAAATGTTTTTTTTTAAGTTAAATTGACACATAGTATTAATTGATGTATTCACCTTTCATTTAATGATGACTATAGTAATTTCTTAATTATTTTAAAACTGAAATATTACAAATACCAAACATCAATATCATTAAAATAATCATTATTGCACAATAGTATAAACATGGAAAACATCAAAACAATAAAATAAAAAAAGGGAAATAAGTTTAATCAAAATAATGAAAAGATAAGACAAAAATAAAAAAAAGGGATTAAAATGAAAGAATAAATAAGTTTTGAAGTAACACCAGAAAGAAATATCTAAACAAAAAATATAAAAATTTTGGAGAAAAAAAGCAAAAAGAAAAAGAGGAAAACTAAACCATGGAGAAAAAAAATGTGCGGGACTATTATTGTTCACAAGTTTTCAACCAAAATGTTGCCATTTTGGTTGAAACGCGTGGTAACTATACCCGTGTTTGCCATTAATGAAAAAATAAATAAGTTTTAAAACAAAAAAAAAAAAGTTAGTTTTAGCCTTTACGATAGGAAGAAAAGAAAAAAAAAAAAAAAAAAGAGGATCAAAATGAAAGAATAAATGTTTTAGGGCAAAAAGTAAAAAACAAAAGAGTAAAAATAAATGATTGAGAAAAAAAGGGAGGGACACGAAAGAAGGAGGGATCAAAAGACAAAGAGAACCGACAAGAGGACTAACAACTAAAAGAAGCAATTTTTTTTTTATAAAAAACACAACAACGCTAGATGGGGGCCTTTCTACCAAAACATTACCGTTTTGACCGAAATGCCCAAACAATGAAAGCTTTTAGAGCATTTTCAATGCAATGTTATAATTGATATACTAATTATAAATTTAGCATTTGAATGTAAAAAAAAAAAAAATTTATAATGCAATGTTATTTATTGTGTTAAATTTTTCATATGCTATATTTTTTATTATATGGACTAGTTGAACTATGCACGTGAAAAGTAATCCATGTGTTACGTTTTGATTGCCGTGTTATTATGTTTTTTAATTCACTTAATAGTAAAAACCTTTTAATAACAAGGAATACACGACTAACACAAACATTTTTTAAGTATCTCCATTTAAATAACAAAGAATCTCTTGGCAAAATGAAAATGAAAAGTAAAAAAGAAAAACACGGGTACGCATGAAAGATATTATGTTAATAAGAGCAAAGTAAGAGAAAACTTAAACTTTAAAATCAAATTAAAAGGCGTAGAAAAGGAAAAATGCACATCACAATAATTTTTTTCCCAAAACAAAGTTTTAGAAATGAGACACATTTAAAACATATAAAATTTGAATATAAAATCTCAAAAGAAACCAAAATGGAAAAAAAAAAAGTTAGAGAAGGAAGGACAAAAAAGTAAAAAAAGGAGCAAATAAAAAAATATATGTTTTAGGATTAAAAAAAGGAGGGGCAAGAAAGGAGAAGGAAAAAAAAAAGGAACTAAAATACAAAAGAAACTAAAAAAGAAGCAAAGTGTTACGAGGTATAATCCTGGAGGAGTTTTTGTAATTAGTTTTTTTTTTTCCTTTTTACATTTTGCTCCTTTTTCACTTAAAAACCTAGTTGAGGGATTTTTTTTTTGTTAACATTTCATTATTTAAGAGGAATAAATATTATATTTTAAAGATTATGAGACAAAATGTTAAGAGAAGTATAATTTAGAGTAATTTTTGTTATTAATCCAAAAAAATTGGTGGTGGGCTTTCGACCAAGAGGAACAGTAGAAAGCCAAGCCTTTCTAGTATTTATATAGATTATTATTTTTATTGTCGTTGCTGTGTTTTTGTTTGCCATACTTTGTCGTTCGTAAATTTTACTTCAAATTTTTTTTTTACTCTCGTATAATTTTTGTCGTTTCGGCATTCAATGTACTTTTCCTCTCATTGTCGTTTGTTTGTCTGCTGTATTTTAGTCGTTTGTGAGTTTCACCCCTTTTTTCAAAAATAATTTGTTGTCGTGTCCTCATTTGTTGTTTTTTTTCCGTGCATAATCAGGATTTCACTAAATCCTCGGTAAAGATCATCCATTGTTAGCTTTAAACAGATGGAAATTAACAACAAAGCTTCGAAAGGAAAAGGGAACAAAAAAAAAAAAAAACGGAAAGTGACAACAAACGACATATGTATAAGCATTTTTAGACTAACAACAAAAACAAAACTTGATCAGTTTTTTACCCAAAGCACCCACATCTTGACCGTGGAACTAAAACGAGTTGTGCACCATGTTGTTTATATCCACAACCTTTCAGCAACAAAGATTATTTTACATTTTGGTTTTGGGTTAATTTATTTACTCCAAAACATATTTTGCTATAGTGTTGCAGACCCACCAAAACAAACATCTAATCAGAGGTTGAGGCGGCTCTGAGTTGGAGCAGAGCGAGGAGGATTAGTGAGCATGTGAACAACTTCCCTCATCGTAGGCCTAGCGCAGCTCTCATCCTGGACGCACATCATGGCGATCTTGAACAGGTGAATGACACTTGTAAGTTGGTATCCATGAAGCCTAGGGTCCATAACCGCCAGCACCGAAGCCGCATCCGACGGCTGGGACAGCTCCGATGTCGTCTTCCTCACCCACCGCACGATGTCCACTCCCTCACCGAAATCCCCCACTGGCCTCCTTCCCGCTATGAGCTCCAACAACACCACACCAAAGCTGTACACATCGCTTTTCTCGTCCACCTTCAACGTGTAAGCATACTCTGCCATGCCACACAAAAAAATAAATTAGACAAAAAACATAAATCTTATTAGTTATGTTACAATAAAACGAAATTATTAAATTTTTTTTTAAAAAAAATAACCAAAACTATGATCATTATTAATTAAAATAGTTACTACATAATAAGTAAGATTATATTATGTGATAGAAATCAAATTGTTAATTTCTATCAGAAACATGCATTAATCAGAAAAAAAGTCAAACTGACTACTTTGACTGGGCCGTAATGGGTGCAAAGTAGAGAGAGAGGGAAACAAACCAGGAGCAATGTAGCCATAGGAGCCTGCAATGGAGGACATACACTCGGAGGCTCCAGCATTGCCAAGAAACTTGGCGAGCCCAAAGTCAGCGACATGGGCCTCCATTTCAGAGTCCAGCAAGATATTGTTCGACTTGACGTCTCTGTGTATAATCAGCGGCGAACAATCATGGTGGAGATAGCAAAGCCCCTTGGCAGCCTCGACGGCGATCTTGTACCTTGTCTCCCACTCCAAACGCCCTCCTTTCGAGCCGTGCAATAGCTCTCCCAAGCTTCCATTAGGCATGTACTCGTACAGCAAGAAGTTCGTTTCCTTGTTCGACACGTAACCCAAAAGCCTGACGATGTTCCGGTGCCGGATTTGTCCCAGAGTTTGGATTTCGGCGGAGAAGCCGTGATCGTTCCCGCCGCGGCCGTAGAGCTTCTTGATCGCCACGTCGGCGCCGTCGGGCATGGAGCCGCGGTAGACGATCCCGGCGCCGCCTTTGCCAATTACGTTCTCTTCTTCCCTCACGCACTCGAGCACGTCCTCCGCTCTGAAATCTAGCCGTTGGAAGGCTGTGAGCTTCCACACCCGTGATTTCTGGAGCTTCTTCTTTCTGATACGGCAGAGCGTGAGGAGGATCAGAAGCAGAATTGTGGCCGCGGCAATTATGGTTATGCTGAGCTTGGAAGAGCTTAAACCCTTGTTGGTGTGGTTTTGATCGGAAGATGAAACTCCGTTTGATGGGGATGGGCATGAGGGGTGACGTGGCAGGCAGAGATTGGGGTTTCCTCCAAACGACGTGTCGTTGAACACCATGAACTGTCCGCCGACGGGGAGTTTTCCAATGAAGTTGTTGTAAGAGAGGTCGAGAGTCGTTAAGCTCGTCATGGAGCGAATTTCGTTGGGGATTTGGCCAGTGAGATGGTTTCTGGAAAAATTCAGAATGCTGAGGTCGCTAAGATCAGCAATCCCGTTCGGAAGTTGGCCGGATAAGCTATTCTGGCTGAAATCTACGGCGGTCAGTGAGGTACAGCGAGAAATCGAAGCCGGAATTTCGCCGCTGATGTTATTGGCGCTAACGTTGATCTTCGTTAGCAATTTCAATTCGAAAATTTGCTCGGGAACTTCACCGTGGAATATGTTCATTTCCAGAGAAAGAGTCTGCAAATTCTTGAGGTTTCCGATTGCCGGAGGGATTTTCCCCGAAAGCCTATTGTTGGAAAGCACGAGGATTCCGAGCGAGTCTCCAGAAATTTTGGAGGGAAGTTCTCCGGAGAAATAATTATCGTTGAGTTCAATGATGCTTACCTTGGGCAAGTTGAAAATACCAGGAGGAATTGTTCCTCTTAAGAAGTTCTTCATGATTCTGATTTTGGTGAGCGACTTGCATTGGCCGAGCTCATCAGGAATTGGCCCAAAGAAGGAATTTTGCATCAGAATCAGCGTCTTCAATCTCCCTCCTTTGCACAAATCACGCGGAATCAGCCCCGTCAGATGGTTCCCCGTTACGTCCAAATAAAGAAGCTTTCCGTTTCTGCCGAGATTCTTCGGAAGATAAAAAGTGAAGTTGTTTTCCCATACCTGAAGAGCCTCCAGGTCTGGAAGGTCGCCGATGAACTCCGGAATTCTTCCGTAAAAATTATTCTTGAACAGATTGAGCAACGTAAGATTCTTCAACTCCGAGAAACTCTCCGGTATCTCTCCTGTGAGCTCGTTGATGGAGAGATCCAGAGACATAAGGCTCACCAAGCCAGAAAGCTCTGAAGGTATTTGGCCAGTCAAACGATTAACCTGCAGAAACAACGAGTCTAAATTCTTCAATAGACCCAGAGTCTTGGGAATCTCGCCGGTGAGATTACAGCTTCCCATGTCAAGACGTCGGAGCGAGCTAATGAACCCTAACTCCGGCGGGATTCCGCCGTCGTAATTGTTACTGTAACCGACGTACATTTCTTTTAGATTCTTCAACCGAGACAAGCTCGCTGGAAACTTTCCGGTGAGGCTATTCCCACTCAAGCCCAAATACTCCAAGCTCTGAATTTCAGAGTAATTCTCCGGAATATTCCCCGTGAGATAGTTACCGCCGAGATGAATATGCTTGAGATTCTTAAGCCCAATAATCTCCATAGGCAATGAACCAGAGAAGTTATTATTGTAGATATCAAGCACTTCAAGCTCGGTCATTCCGAGCGTGATTTCTCCGGGGAATCTTCCGCTGAAGAAGTTGTTGGAGATATTGAACAGTCTGAGAGAAGTTAGGTTGGCTATCTCTGCAGGAAGCTTTCCGGTGAGATTGTCGGAGGAGATAGTGAGGTTCACGAGCCTGTTGAGAAGCCCAATCTCCGGTGCCAAGTAACCGAAAAGAGGAAGATCGGTGACGTTGAGAGAAATGACTCGTGACTCTTCGTCACATGAAACTCCAGAGAAAGAACAGTGTGAAGACAAAGAAGAAGAAGAAGAAAGAGGAGGAACCCAGTCTTCGAGACCGGAACCTTTGGGTCCGATCATGGCGGTCTTGAGCTTCAACAGTATGTCGAGTTCAGTGTACCCGCAACAGGCAGAAGACACGAAGAGAAACAAGGAAACGCGAAGAAGAATCTGACAAAAGAGAGAAGAGCAAGTAAAAGTTATCATCATCTTTTCTTGAAGCTTTTTTCAGAAAGAAAATAGGAGATTATCTTCCGTTCAGTGGTATGGATGGAGTAGGGGTTTGAAACTATGACGCTACAAATAGTAGTAGTAGTAGTAGTATAGTAGTGTACAGATTATTATTATATTATAATATAATATATTAGGCTTCAGAAAGAGAATCGAAGGAGAATCAAGCTTGAATAAATAAACCAAAATTGGAAAGTTAGAGAGAAATGGAGAGTGAAAAGAGTTGCATGAGGTTTCATGTCCTAGCTTTAGCTTGGAGGTCTATAACCTGCAGTTTGGAATGCCCTGGGTCCTACCGTACGATGCCATCTATGGATTTTACGGTGATTAACGGGCTGTTAACGTTTGATCTAGTTTTTTTTTTTCCTTTTTTCTTTTTTTCCATTTTGCCATTATCTTTGTTCTGAGTAATTCTTATTCGTTTTATAAATTTGAGTTTCTAATTTAAATTGAAGTGTAATATTTTTTAAAATTTTTTAACTGTAATAAAAAAGATATGACATTTTTAAAAAAAATTTAATTATAAAAACTTATATGAACAAGGCCATAGCTGGTTTATTAGAGGGGTGAAAAAAGAAAATAAAAGTGTATTTAGTTTAAATTATAATTTATATTTTATTATAATATATATATTTTTAAATATATATATAAATTAAAAATAATTTTAAATTATAATTTTAAATTTATGAACGAAAAGATTGACGTTAAGAGTGATGGTACACGCTTGTCTGTGATGGTACATACTCTTTAGTCGCGCGATTACCGATAGATGTGCTTTGACGGCGTGATTTTGCGGTTTGAATTCCAAAGCTCCATGATAATCTTGTTGGACTTGCAGAGCTGTCTCTTCTGGCTCTTTCATGGCGTGGGTATTATCAATTTATTTGGTAAAAGACATCTTCAAATAGCCAAAAGGAAAAAAAAAAATTAAAGAAGCTTGTTACAATTTATCAAAAAATGATCTATGCAATCTCTCATAAGTTTAAATATTTATTAAATAAAAAACTCTAATAAAAATGTTTGAATTGTCTAAAAAAGAATTATTTACATTGTGTTTTAAACTGTGAATCAAAAAGGTAGCAGCAATGCAATGAATTTTCTTTATTTTATATTTATCATTTGATTTCGGATATGTATGGCCACTCAATGTAAATAAAGTCGAGTAATCAGATTTTGTGCATCCACTTCTTGGATTTATCAAAATCAAAAATCTATGTGGATGCTATCTTTCTGTGAAACTGATGATGGAATGGGCTTTGGGGGCATTGCTGGGCCCATGGAGCAAAGGCCCTCTGTGTCTTTTCCCAGACAGACAGACACCTTTCCTCTCTGACTCCATTTGGCAGAGAGCTAAAAGTCCACTCTTTTTGTATTTTTCTTATTTGCCATCTCTTTCTTTCATCAATCTGGGATCGTCTCAGTCATGTGCCACAAACAGGCCAGTCTTCTGCCTCACACGGTCACACAACTCATGAGACCCTTCAGTCTTCTTCCCTCTCACTTTTCAGTGCAGTTCTTATTACCCAACAGTGCACTATCCAGGATAAGATAACAAAAATGAGATCTTCACTCACCAGCTTGTTCTGTTTTAATTTATGTTGATTTTTTTTATGTCGATTGTTTTTAAATTTAACTTTTAAAACTATATACAAGAATATTGTTTAATTGTATTCATTTTCTCGCAACCTGTTAAAAACGAGTCCACTCGTGGACTTTGTTTACAATATACAATGTATTTTTTAGATTATGTCTTTATAACAAAAGGTCCAGTTGGCTTGTTTATGGACCCTCTTTAATCTTTCTATGGTGGAGATGAATGAAAGAGGTTCAATTCAAGTGGGATTGTTTTTGAGAGCCGTATAAGTTGGGATATAAGCATTTATTCTTTCTAAGTTGGAGAATAGATTCATATTCTCAAATAATGCGTTAGTGGGAGAATTCTGTAATAGAAAGAATCTATTAAGTGAGTGATTTTGGAGAATAAAGATTAACTGCTACTTTTACTGCAATAAAATCATTTGTTTATCCAGAGATTTGCAAACTTTTTAGATGCTGAAAATATTTCCCCCGCGTCTGCTTTAGTGTTTCATACGACTTGGTCTTAAATGCCTTGTTTATCATTATTTTAGGATGTGATATTCGTTTAGTTATGAACCTTCTATCCGTTTTTAAGTACAAAGTTTGTGCTCTGTCTTCCTTTATATGGACCATATTATGAGTGGGCTGATATATTTTTTAGATGTTGGCAGGAGAAAAAGTTTTATGGTTGGTACTTGCTGATTGTCCAAAGTCGAATTATCACGATTTAACAAACATGCGGTGGAGCAAACCCCTACCCTACCTCAAATTAAGTCAATGGCAAACCAAACAAATAAAAAAATAAATAAATATCGTGTGGACTCTGAGAGCAACTTGAAAAGAATGGCCGGTTATTATTAGTCTTGTCCAATCAATTTCGTAGAGAACTATGATTAGAACATATCTTATAAGGAGTTTTAATGATATTCAAATTAAGAAAACGGAAAAATGGACTCGTTTTTTTAGAATTTAATTTGAGTATAATTTTTGAATTGAATTTGAATTATAATTTGAGTTGAACTTGTAACTTGAGTTTGTATTTGATTGTGTACATTTGAGTTATGGTTTGAGATAAGAATTTTTTTGAGTTTGTGTTTGAGTGAGTCAAAACTTGAATTTATATTTAGATAGTATTTTAATAAAAACTCAATGCTGATGAAAAATTTTAATAGGGTATATAGATTGTGTTTTATTCGTCTTTTCGTTGTCAACTCATAGAAAAAAAAATCATCTCAATCAGAATTAAAACGAAAAAGTTATAACATTTTTAAGAATAGAAAAAATATTGTTCATTAATTTGAGTTCGAGTTTCTGAACTCGAGTTGAAGGGAAAACTTGAACTCGAGTTTTAGTCCTAAACTCGAATTTAAACTCGAGTTTAAACTCGAGTTTAAACTTAAAAGAACATAAACTCGAATAAAGTTGTAACTCGAGTTGCATTTTTTTGAGTTTTTCACTCAAAAGAACAAGCCCTAAGGACTTGTTCTTTTGGAGTTTAACTTTAGTATAATTCTTGAGTTGAATTTGAGTTACAACTTAAGTTGAACTTGTAACTTGAGTTTGTGTTTGATTGTATACATTTGAGTTATGGTTTGAGATAAGAATATTTTTAAGTTTGTGTTTGAGTGAGTCAAAACTTGAATTTGTATTTAGATTGTATTTTAATAAAAACTCAATGCTAATGGAAAATTTTAATAGGGTATATGGGTTGGGTTTTATTCGTCTTTTCGTTGTCAACGCATAAAAAAAAATCATCTTAATCAGAATTAAAACGAAAAAGTCATAACATTTTTAAGAATATAAAAAATAATGTTCATTAATTTGAGTTCGAGTTTCTGAACTCGAGTTGAAGGGAAAACTTGAACTCGAGTTTTAGTCTTAAACTCGAGTTTAAACTCGAGTTTAAACTTAAAAGAACATAAACTCGAATAAAGTTGTAACTCGAGTTGCATTTTTTTGAGTTTTTCACCCAAAAGAACAACCCCTAAGTCTCGTTCATTTCACCAATTCAAATTTAAAATTTGAGTTTTGTTACAGTTAAAAAATTTTAGAAACAGTCACATATAACTTTTTTATTACAGTAAAAAGTTCTCATATAAAATCACATCTAAATTTCAATTAAAAACTTGAATTAAAAAATTAAACGAGCCCGCAGTTTTCTCTTTTTTTTTCCTTAAAAATAAAAAAATAAAAGTATAAACTCATATTAAATTTTCTATTTTTTCAATGATCAATCAAGAGATCCAACAGTGTTTTTTTTTTTTTTATGGATTTATGCATTGAGGCCCAAGAGAAGGAATGTAATGGCACATTCAACAATACAAGAACTTTAAATTTATATTGTTCTTTTTTCCAACTTGATTGGAGAAGTTGAATAAAAAATAAATTTTGTGAGATAAAATATAATAATAATAAATTTAAATTGTGATTAGAATTAAGGAAAAAAACATGTACATCTCTGTTTTTGGCTCTTAATATGCCTTCGAAATTTACTCTATTTACTTCTTAATATTAAAATAAATAATAAAATAATAAAGGTCCTTTGATAATAGAGCCTTCCACATCAAAATATAAAAGTTTGCAAAACATACGATCTTTATATAGAAATAATAATTAAAAACATAAAACTACTAATATTTTATTTTTTATGACACAATAAAAATCTTAAAAGTAGTTATAATAAATAATGTTTTGATTAATTTCAAAAACTCTCCATGAATTATGACTCATTTAATCTTTTGTCCTCTAAATTTCAAAACGTAACATCCGCTCTCTTTAAATTTTATTCCGTTAATAATTTTATCCCTTATGTTACATTGAGTGACAGAATTCACTACATAAATAAAATTCGACCTATTTAAGAAGAATATTATTGTAAATTAAACTTACCACAATATTAAATTATTAAAAAAGTGATTAAAAAAAATCTAATGCGTTAAAAGTTTGTTCATTTTGTCGATTTCCCCCAAAGGTTGTGTTATGATTTCGGTGGTGAGATGCCGGTGGGGTTTAGGACTTTGGAGGCTTTGCAGAAGGGCTTTGATATGAGCAGCGATTTCAGGCTCAAATTCGCCAAGGGATTGCGGGGAGGCTTTGCAGAGGCGGCGGCGGAAGGTTGGTGGTTCTCGACGAGACGAACAAGAGGGATATTGTGATTCATTGTAAACGGAGAATTATTTGATTATGAGGGTATAAATGTAGTTGTGTTTTTAATTCTTACTAAAAGATAAGTGGTGATTTTTGTCATTTGGAATGATAAAGCGTCCGTTTAGTTTGCTGATTCGAGTTTTTAATTTAAATTAGGATATGATTTTATTTAAGAGTTTTTTACTATAGTAAAAAAGTTAAATGTGACTGTTTCTGAAAACTTTTTACTGTAACAAAATTCGAATTCTAAACTCAAATTGGTGAAATGAACGGATTAAAATCCAGAGATAATGAATGTTATTTTTTAAAATTTGAGAAATAGAGTGCTAAAAAAATCATAATTTAAGGGAAATTTTTTAAAATTAATTCATAATGTTTAGATGAATAACAAAAAATTCTCTAGACACCACATAATATATATATACGTCAAATACCATACTTGTAGGTTGTAGCCACTCATAAACTAAGACCAAAGAGTTGCCTTATTATTCTTATTGTTTTTTCAAAAGTATAGCCAACAAATATGCTATGTCCATAAGGGAGTGATTGTGACTGTTACAATATCTTGAGACAAAGTGGTCAACCAAGGTTATAGACGGTGGTTAATAAGTAAGTGGTCTCTTTTGATTGAAGGGTTTGAACTATTACAGTTTTAACTTTTAAGTTTAAACTATATGTTGACGGGAAAAACTCGTCAACAGAAATGGACCGGATCACTACTTGGTATTCCGTTAGATTACCGACTTAATACTGATTGTATACTCAATATATGTAGTAAAGTGTTTGGGGTATTTTTTGTGTAGTGAGCAATATGAGAAAAAATACTTAAAGTAGAAAAAACACACAAGATTTATAGTGGTTCACTATTATAAAATGAAAAGCTACATCCACTGTAGTTTTCTAGTCATTTGGAAATTGTTACAATTTACACAAATACTTTGCTCTCTCGTTCTTTTCTCTCAAGAACAATCAATCAATTTCCTGTAGGAGGCTTCTCTCCTTTTATAGCCGAGCTTCCTTCATCGGGTGGGTTTTCTGTGTAGGCAGAAAAGCACTCAAGTGATCTGCCTTTCTAGGCCCAGACCGTAGCCCACTAATCACTTTTGCGCACTGTTCACTCAGCCAATTAGTCTTCCATTACGGCTCTGTGCGTAGCTGTAACCCTTTTCTGTCCTCCATAGGTCGATTTAAGGGTTTGCATTTAATGCCTGTACTGCAGACATCTGCAACTTGTGATGTCAAGCTTTCCCTTCTTCGGGCATTCCTCTCGCCGTCTCTATTTGCTCAGCCTAGTTTTCTTTCTTGGCAGTTGATTTCTTCCCGAAGGATTCCTGCCGTAAGGTTGACAGTAGAACTGTCGTCGTCGTCATGAGGAGTCGGCGCCGAAGGCTGGGCTTCCCTTGCAGCAGACGAAAAGGGAATCCCCTCCCGTCGAGGGTTGTTGCCTTTTGAGAGAAGACAAGGTCACGTGTCACACTTTTGTTTGCCCACGCGTCATCCACATTTTTCCACACAACACTATATATTGGTTTGAAATATACAGTTAAAACTTTGAGTTTAAATCAAGAATTTTAGGAGATAAATTGGTTTAGAAGTTCTTTATTTTTATGGTTTAAATGTCATGTCAACGGTTAATATTAAGGTACTATTTATTTTACCGATTTGAGTTTAAAATTTGAGTTTTATTATAGTAAAAAGCTTTCAGAAATAGTCACATTTAATTTTTTTATTACAGTAAAATTTTTTTACGTAAAATCACGTCTTAACTCAAATTAGTAAACTAAATAAACCTTAATTTTTTTTTTTTATAAACAAACATTAACTTAAAATAAAAATATTTGATTTAAATCATTTAAATCCTCAACATGACAAGACTTAAAAACGGATAATACCACGGGAAAGTGTGAGAATTTTAAAGTAGGACTTTATAGTAGAGCTAAGATTTTGTAGAATTTTCCTCATTTCTCTGTGCAAGTTCTCCATTTGTTTCAGAAGAACAAACAAGTCTATACAAAAAGAAAACATGAAAAAGTCTCTGGTGTATTCAATGGTCTAAGCAAACAGTATCTTTTCTTTGTTTTTTTTTTTTTTTTTTTTTTTTTTTTGGTGTAAAAAAAACAATTTCATTTATTTTTTTTTTTTTTTTTTTTGTTTGGCTGAAAGCAAACGATATCAGTTAAGCAATAAACAACGTTCAGTTTGCAAAGATGTCCTGCTTTTTACTTAATCCTGGCAAACGCCAATTGGTGCTGTTCTTGTCAGGTTGAGAATGGTAGCGTCTTGATGGAAATATGAATACGATGGACCAGATGACGATTGTGATTTGTGATTGCTTCTTTCCCAAGTGCTACTGCTCAACGCTGTAATGATGTTTGAGAATTATTCTCGCCAGTTTTCAATCAAAAGTATCCACAGAACACTGCAACGATGGAAAAAAAGGTCACGTCCACTTGTCCGTATTTGGACCATTAAGGTGTGGGCCGTATTACTTTCAGCTTGGCCAATCATGGGCCGGAAAAACTGTAATACACTCTTCATTGGGGTTGGAACACTAGGCATGAACTTCACTTTCATCTTTTCTTCATTTTTTGTTTTGTTTTTTCATAATGTCCAATCCGTGAAGGAAGGGTGATCTCTGTTATATACCCCTTGACACCACAAAAGAGGCTCACAAGACCTGACATAAATGTTTGCTCCCCCTTGACCAGGAGCGCGTTACTCAAGTCTAATCCAATGTACTAGTAATAACAATATTTAGGAGTGTTGTGGACGTTTAATTTATGAGTTTATAATTATAATTTAAAATTATTTTTAATTTATATATATTTTTTATAAAAAAAAATATTATAATAAGTTATAAATTATGATTTAAATTATGACACGAATTTTTATTTTAAACGTAACATAAATAAATACTAATCTAACAAGCGCAAAAGCTTCACTTTGAGCTCTTCGAATCATTAGGCCGCATCAGTCTTACTTCTAGAGATAGAATGTTACTACATAAAAAAATATATGTATAATTTCTGAACCAAAGGTTTTATTTATAGGAAAAGAAGATAAATATTTCTTAAAATGCATGAATGTTAGATTTTTATCCATTTTTGACTAATATCTTTTAATTAAAAAACTATATTAATCAAAAAAATATTGATAAAAAAATATAAAAATCTTAGAATAATACAATTAAGTTCACTAATTTTCTCTTTATTTATTCATTTATTTTGACTAGAACCATAGCTTTTATTTATCAATACATACATAGTAATGCAATCTCATATAGGGATAAAAATTGTTATTTTTCTATTTATAAACTAACTAAAGCCATGAACTGCTTATCTTTCCCTTTCTCTTGATGACTATAGCGAGTGGAGGGGTGTTCAATCTTTCTTTTTATTGAATGTATTTGGTGCCCTTTTGGATCTGTTTAACATTTCTTGGATTTGTTGTACCTTATAGACTGAAACTCGATTTGCAGAGAGGAAAAGGAAAAAAAAAAAAAAACTATAATGATGTAGCGTGAGTCATGAATGATTACAATTCACGCAGTAAAAATAACATCAGAAGTAAGATTAAGAGCCCGAGCCCGTTTAATTCGTTGATTCGAATTAAAAGATGTGATTTTATGTAATACTTTTTTACTATAATAAAAAAATTAAATGTGACTATTTTTAAGAATTTTTTTATTATAATAAAATTTAAACGGGTAAAATAAACAGAGCTGAAGCGTTTTTGGTTTTTCAGTGGCAGAAACTAGAAAGGAGCCAAACAATTGGACAAGAGTCATTTAATGCATGGGGGGCGCTGCATCAATAGTCACTCGTGAATGGAACCATCAACCATGCACGTACAAATGTCGACCAATGTTACACGAAACATACACAAACAAGTACAAGGGTAAAATAAAAACCAGCTATTGTGCAGAGATGTTATTCGAAAAATAGAATAAAATAAAATAAGAAACGAAACTGTGCATCACGGCAACGTTAACATTGAGCTAATTTTTTTTTTTTCACCGTGTAAGCCAACACTAAGAAGTCAAACTGTGGAGCATAATATATCCATCAACAACAGTTGACTTGGGAGCAAACAATTGTGGTTGTAGCCTACAAATTTAGAAAAACTGACACGGAGACAGGGGCTCAAGCTGTTCTCCATTGCAACTCAATTTGAATCTTTCCATTCTTGGAATCAATAAGATGGTACTTCTCATTGATTCTTCTGTTGTTAACTACATCAGCCAGTTGTATCTCCACATATCCCAGAGTTTCCTGGTCGGAAGAGTAGAAGGAAAATAATCAACATCATAATACTAATAATCGATGTACATTTATAGCAAAATTTCAAAAGAATTCTAACTCAAACTGAAGAAATATGGAATCAAATAAGAGTTGAAGAACTTACTTTCGGATGCAGCAATCCCATCCTTGAGGAAGCACTTAAAACTTCCACATGAAGCCTATCATTGATCGGGGGTTCGTCCAGCGTAAATGCAAATTCCTCCTCCCATCTTGGGTCCCGGTTTTTCTTGACATGCTAGATCAACAGCAAAAGTGAATGTCAAATTTAACAAAAAATCCACACTAAATTTCTGAATGTAAAAATTTAGATAAAAGTACTTTCACTTGATTTAATGATGTGGAAATTGCAAAAGTATCGCAAAATTTCAGCTCTAGTGTCAAATTGGAGAGAGTGCTAGCATAAATAAGGTTAGGGACAGTTGTGTCAAAAGGGATTGGCAAGGTTTTGTCAAACTTTAGGACATTAAGCCAACCACAAGGTGTCGAGGGATTTGCACCGTTGAATTTCACTAGAATCCAATAGTGAGGATTTTGTAGTTTTTCCAATAATTGTTTGGTCCTAGATTAGTGAACTGATAGTACCAACCTGAGTCACTTGCACCTGAAATTAAGGTTGCTCCTAGAATATCTGAAATTTCAAATATTACCAAGTGATATGGCCCCAGTTACAAGTAACTTAGCCTTTAAAATATCAACACTTAAACAGAACTTCAACAAACCTTGGTTCTTTTCTCCTCTCCTCTGAAGAGTAATCTAACATATGGATTTGTGTGGTTCTTTCCTTCCACATCTTCAGCTTCATGGACCATAATTACAAGCAAACCACCGCCAGCAGGTGTTCCTTCGGGCGCCTTTTGGACCATGTTTGAATCTTCATCATCAGGCACTTCATCTTCTTTGAAAGGTTTGTATGTCATCTCCACGACAATCTGCCCATGAGACTTCTCATTCAGAGCATCATTTGGGTCCATGTTTTTGAGTAGGTCAAGAGTCAGCACCTTAGGCTCATCAGGCGTAAGCTCTTTCAATGGAACAACATTCATACCCATCTTATCATGCGCACCAACCTTAAAAAGGATAAAAGAAGAAAGAAAGCAAATATGATTTGAGAAGCCAAGGCGGGAAAAAAATTGTATTAAAGCAAAGAGCTTTTACAATGATTCTATAGGTGACCATTGATTCTACATTAAAAAGCAAAATACACCAAAAGACTTACCTGTTCCCAGTCGTAAACGTTCAGCTCTAGTGCTTGAGATTCAGGATCTTTGACAACCATGTTAAATTCCTCAATCCATTCGGGGTTTAAATTTTTATGCTTTACCGTTGTTTTCTTAGCAGGAAGGTTGTCCTCCGTTAACTTGAGTTTAACATAAGGGTCTGATGCTCCCAGTAAATCTTTCTTTTTTAGCTTCATTGCTCTCAGGACCTTTACACTGAGGATTCCAACAGGTTTCTTCATGGCCCTGGCAAAATTAAGCAACACCATATCAATTATCAAGTCATAGAAATAGACCTAACATCTGTAAACAAATGAAGATAAACACATTGTTTGCTATTCAGAGCCGGGGAGAACTCATTCTTACTTTGCAGGATCCATAATTTGTACCTCTAGGGCTTTAGGCCATAGATACATATTTGCAACTTGATCTTTAATAAGCTCCTGAGGAATGAAAGTGTATTAAGAAACCAAAATAAACTTTTCTCAAAAAAAAAAAACAAATCATATTTAAGCGTTAGAGGCTAATGATTAGTTTGCTAATCGGTTTTAGCGCATTTTCTAGTTTGTTGTCTTCCACAGCAACATGATGCAGTCATAGTATTCATACTTTTGTCAGTGTTTAGACAATTAGCTTATGAGATACTAGTATTTCCACTTAATGTTATAAAACATTTTAATTCAATCAATGCAATTCACAGATTTCTCTCGATTTATTCAACTCAACTATGTCCCAACTGATGAGATCGCTAAATGGAAATTGGAGAACTACCTGGACAAACCTATAGAGGCCAGGAATGGACATAGCATCCGCGCCAAGCAGCTTTAGCCCAAAGTCAACGTGTGGCTGCAAAACAAGGGCAAATAGGAAAAAAGAAAAATAAAAAGATATAGCAGGAAATGAAGCAAACGAGAGAGATCTTTCGGTTCATGGAAAATGTAATAGAGTACTGGCTCTGTACGTTCTACAAATGGCACTTGGCGATTAGTTGCAATGAAAAGTAATTAAAGTATCGGTGATTTTTAATAAAGTGAGGCCATAATTTTTCCCTTTTCCAATGTGGTTTTAAGAAAATTTTATCGAGAAGATTTAAATGTTATCCGTGTCTAATACATGAGCCTCCATAACCTTTCATGTTTGCAATGCAGATAACACAACTCTGCCAAGACAAATTTTGAGCCATACCTTCTCCATAAGAGAAACAACTATTTTTGCAAAACAGGGAAACGTCGGAACCAAGGGCTTCAGAGTTATACGTGGACAAGCAAATACTTGCAAATCAACTACCTGAAATACTCAGGGAAGAATCAGTACTTGAGAATGATGAAGACAGAAATACTTTTACTTCATACTGCTTGCTTGCATCTATGTGCGTGCGTGTGTGTGTGTGTTTATCTGTGGAAGAAAGTGAGAGAGTGCAAAAAGGGATGACAAAAAAAAAAAAAAAAAAAATTATTCACTTCAGTAACAGTGAAACAAGTACCTGAACTGTGGCTCTCAACCCAAATGCTTTAACTGCAACGATGATGTTAGGATTACCAGCCCACCTTAACGCTGGTTCCATGATCAATTCCTTCTCATCAGTGACATAAACTTTCATTCCTGGTACAAAAGAAAAACCAAAACGAGTTAATCACTAAGAGAAAATGGAATACCAAAAACAGCAGAAATAAGTTAAAACACCAACTTTAAGTCCATGGACAACACCAGAAAAAACAACAGCAAATACGATAAACAAGCAAGGCCAAGACACAGGCCCTTTAAGAAACTGAATAATTATAAAAACAAGAGTATGAAGGTTGATATTCACAACTCAATTTAGGAAGCTGCCTGGCCTTTTATGTAGCTTGGGAGCATCATACATAAACTTGCTAAAGTATGCTCTTAACTTATCTGTGTTAAATGTGAAAGGATTGTTTTTTAGTTCATCTGAACAGGGATGCAATCACTTGGTAACGTTTGGTTAATGGATTTAGAATCATGATTCATAATTCTGATTTTTGAAATTTAAATTTTTTGTGAGAGAAAAACACTGTAGAGAATCATAAATCATGATGCAGAACTAGAAACGGATACATGAAACAAACATCTCGATTGGGTTGTCCAAACTAGTGTGGTTTTGTCCGTCAGTGTTGGTTTGGAATCAACTGAACCTTGAAAAGTTTTTAGTCATAAAAAAAAAAGAAAGAACGAAGAAACCTTGAAAAGTAGGTGGTAGAGAGCCCAAGGTCAGTGCTTCAAAATCAACAGAATCAATTTTGTATTTCGGAATTTGCTCAGCAATAATGGGCTTTGCTATGGTCTGAACGGTCTTGCAAATTGCCTGAATGAAAAGAGAGAGAGAAAAGACAAAAGGGTTGTGAATACTCGTAACAAAACAGAAAGAAGAATTCAATTACATAGTTCTGAACTACATACCTTTTCCAGATAGGGCCACATGATTTCAATAAACCTATTAAGCCAGTCAACCTTCACAAAAACAAAAATTATAAAAAGCTAAGTACAACCACAATGCATTTAGTAGACAAGAATTTTACAATGTCAACATACACGATCATAATCGGGCATTTTCACCCATAAGGGTATCTCCGGAAGCAGCCGTTGCAAAGTTTTAGAATCTTGCTCCACCAGAGGACGAATAATAGGATCCTGAATGCACCAAAAACCAGAAAAATATACAAATGGTATATCAGTCTACGAGTAGTTTTTGTTGTTGAGTGTGTGCAAAGTTAGCACATGGATAGACCTTGTGTGTGTGTGCGCGCGCGTGTGCGTTTCATTTCTTTTTTTCAATTTATTGCTCGTGTTAGTCTAGGATTAGGGCTAAAGTTCTTAATATTCGCTATATAATTTTGGAAGAAGTTTTGGAGTTTAATTGGTACCGTAAAGTTCGAGGTATGATTATTGATAGAAAATTCTCTTTAATATCCATGTTTAAATTATTTTAACATACAAAAGAAAAAAAATCCAAAATAAAAAAATAAGACACTAATTTCCTTGTTCCTACGTTAGCTAGACTTGTAAATTTCCTGAACATGAAGTTATATATATATATATATATATATATATATAAACTCAAACAGGCTCATACTGCCATCCAAATGCCTGAGACGCAAGCAAGGGATAAACAGTTCTCTCTCGTTTCTTGTTCTTGTTTTTGGAACTTTATGATCATCACATTAACAAAATCCACAACAAATACGATGATACAAATACAAGAAAAGAAGAAGACACATCGGGGGGAACGAATTGGAGAGTTAAAAGAAAGGGAAAAGAGATAAACGGACCTTAACATCAGTTGGCTGAAAGTAGATGAACATGTAGTAACCGATCACAAGCCCAATTGAAGTTCCCACTCCAAAACCAAAAACACCCGTTATAATGCTCAATATACCCATCTCTGATCTTCTCTCTCACCACCACAATTCTCCTCCAAATTACTCTCTTTCTCCCAAAATTCGACAGAGAGAGAGAGAGAGATGGCAGTGAACTCAAAAGAGACAGCTAAAACAAAAACTCTTTCAGCAAAAAAAAAGAAAAAAAAAAGAAAAACTAAAACAAAAAATGTACCGAACCCATTTGAGAGTACTGCTCTTTACTTCAAATCCTAACCTAAGCTAAGAGTAAGAGTAGAAACCCAGAAAGGAAAAAAAAAAAAGAAAACGGGCAAGAAATTCCAGAAAATAAGTTTTCCATGTGTCAATGAATCGTCCTATAAAATATCTTGCAGATGGATAAGACAATAACCGTTTTGATTGTTTGTGCCAAGATTTGTGTCTTGTAATTTTTCCTTTCTTTTTTTGTTTCTTTCTTATGGGGAAATAAAATGCATATAATGTGGTAATTAAGGTTTCATTTATTTTGTTGATTTGAGTTTAAAATTTGAGTTTTGTTATAGTAAAAAGTTCTCATAAATAATTACATTTAATTTTTTTGTTACAGTAAAAAATTCTCACATAAAATTACATCTCAATTTAAATTATAAACTCAAATTAACGAACTAAGCGAACTAAACAGACCCTAAATCTTGGTGGCCAAGCTTTCTTTCTTTGGTCGAACACCATTTGATGCAGTGGGGTACGATAAAGTGTCGGTAACGTCATGTTGTTTTAATGGGCACGCTCTGATTGGTCCGTTTTTTGAAATGTCATTTGTTCAACGGTAAGAGAGGGAAAGAGCCACAGATTGGGGAGCGTTACAATAATTTAAGAAAATTTAATAAAAACAAAAGGGTTTATGTGTAAATTTTTAATTAAATCACATTAAAATAAAAAATATGTAAAATAAATAACTTATAGTATAACTATAAATGTGATGGTTTAAAACATAAATCTCTATGTAATTTTTATATTTTTAAGTCCTACCGAAAAAATTTCTTGAAATCAAATGGTTAATCAAATAATTTAAGTAAAAAAAAAAAAAACACCAGTGGAAACAACTGTATGTTTCTATTTTGTCATCTAGGCCTTTAGGCCTTTATTATCCGTTTTGGACTCTTCTTGGTCGTTACTCGTTAGGCTCCTTTCGTTCCAACCTTTATTTTGTTTGTCCTGTTCTTGATGTAAAATCCAACTAATTGTCCCTCTAAACAAAAAATAAAACTCAAACAAAATTTAAACTCAAATTACAACTTTATTTAAATTTATATTTTTTTATAAAATTTAAGTTTGAACTCGAGTTTAAGAATAAACTCGAGTTCAAGTTTCTCTTTCAACTCGAGTTTATAAACTCAAACTCAAATTAATAAATAATATTTTTTCTATACATAAAAATATCATAACTTTTTCGTTTTAATTCTAATTGAGATGCTATTTTTTTCTATGCATTCACAATGAAAAGACGAATAAAATCCCACCCATATACCATATTAAAATTTTTCATCACCATTGAGTTTTTATTAAAATACTATGTAAATAAAAATTTAAGTTTTGACCCATTCAAACACAAACTCAAAAAGATTCTCCATTCAAATCATAACTTAAATGTGTACATCTAAACACAAACTCAAGTTACAACTTTAACTCTAATTATAGCTCAAACTTAACTCAAGATCATCACTCAAATCACCATAACTAAAAAATATAAAAGAACAACCCAAAAAAGTGTAATCCAATTCAACCTTTTATTTTCAGCCAGCTACAGCTTTGAAAAAAATATAGGGGAAAATCTCATGTTTGGTAGAGGGATTCGTTCCCTGATTCGAATCATGATTCGTGGTTCGCTACAGTATTTTCTCTCACAAAAAATTCACGTAAATCGAAAATGATTCGAATCACATGGTTTGAATCCTCCAACCAAACGTATTGTTTTTCCCTTTCTGTCTGACAATTTCAAGTTTTAATTTTTTAATTCTGATTTTGATTAGCAAAAAAATTGTAATAAGTGTCGATGTGACACAAATTATCTAATTTTATGTGAGGGATCAAGGTCAAACTAATGAGGACCACATCCGCTTAATTGTAAATTTTGACCTCAAAATTAGATTAGGATTGTGCACTAGAAATTTTATGAGAGCATCATTTGCTCATGCATTTAAGCAAATGTGGAAATTGGACAACGAGGTTTGGGTCCGCCACAAGAAAAAGAAGTAGTGGACATAGCCATTATTTTAGCTTTATTTATTTTCAGGGGCACAAATACAATGATTTACTGTAAAAGTAACATGCCCCTTTTGGTAAATTATCTATGGTTATATTAACAATGCGGAGGTGAAGATTATGGTGCACATTTTGAGATGACACTATAGGAAAGGGGTGGCATTCATTCGAAACATATATACATATATATATATATATATATATATATATATGAGAGTTTGATTTCATTCAGTCGATTGGATGGTTCAGCCCTTATGTGGCAAGTGTTAATTAACTCTGATGGGAGGTTATGCATAGGTAAGTGATGCTTGCAAGTGAATGTTAAAGTATGTTTAATATATTTTTTTATGGGTGCAACCTGTTGCAGCAAGTGGTCATTCTATTTGACTTGGCATTATTGTAATAGTGTATTAGTTTGAGGGGCTGGTTTGTAATTAAAAATCTATAAGGATCACTTTTATAAACGACATCATAACTTTTGTCATAAGTAACGTAACAACGGTTCCAATCTAATGTAACTTTGACCCTGTTTGTTTCCGTTTTCATTTCTATTTTTCACGTTTTGTGAGACTAAAAAATGAAAACGGAAACAGAAAATGTGTTTGGCTTAAAAATTTTTTAAAAACAAAAACAAAACCGTTTTTGTCTTTTGTGAAAAATTGAAAACGAAAAAAATGTGTTTTCATTTTCTCGTTTTCATTTTCTAAAAGCAGATTTCATTTTTTTTTTATTTTCTTCTCTCTCTTTTCTGAAACCGTTTTTGTCTTATATAATGATGTTTATTTAATATATTTATTTAATATATTTAATAATATTATTTAATTAATAATATTATTATTTAGTTTTCAAAAATTAAACCATCAAACGCAGTTTCAGTTTTTTTTAAAACTGAAATCAATCTTTGAATAAAACTACCAAACGCATTTCAGAAATAATTTCAAAATGAAAATGAAAACGTTTTCATTTCTATTTTCATTCAGAAAACAAAAACATTTTGGAACCAATTCCAAACGCACCATTTGTGTCCTGCAACGCTTAAATTACAACTTAAACTTTGTCTACTTTTAAGGATCATGAGAGAATTTTTGATTCAGGGTCTGTTTGGTTCACACGTTTAAGTTAATAATTCTAATTTATTAACATGAATTTTGTGAAAGAAAGTTTTAAATTCAAATTCTTTGTGAGATAAAAAATATTGTAACATAATCATAATTATAATTTAAATATATGTATCAAATGGAATCTCAATAACTTGTATTATATGTATTTGAATTGCATATAATATATGAAGAAGTTAATTTAAATTAAACACATATTCCTTAAAATATAATGAAGCATTTTAGACTATTATTATTATTGTTTTGAAAAATAACATAAGGAGAAGTGGTTTTTTTTTTTTTTTTTTGTGTGCAAAAAATAACATAAGGGAATTCTTTTTAAATCATTTAGGGTAACCTTCCTAATTCTATAATTAATATGTGTAATCGTTGCCTAATAAACCAAAGGCAGCCACAACTTTTGAAGGAAATAAGAAAAAAAATAAGGGAGAGAGATAGGGGAAGTTAGCATTAAATTCGGTGCTGACATTTGAAAGAAGAGCTAATTGTTTACAACTGGCTCATATAGTTTTTTCAGGAGGAGCTCAGCTATAAATAGAGCCCCTCCCTTTCTCAGTTTTGTAACTCATTCTCATCTTTCAGAGAGAATTCCCATAGTGTGAGAGAAATTTAGTTTATCTAGTTTTTCTTCTTTTGTGAGGTGTTTATCCTATTTACATGAGATAGTGGTTTTTATTGTTATCTTTGTGTAATTTAGAGAGAAGGTTGTAATTCCTGGCTTTCATAAAGAAATCATTCTACACTTGTCCCGTGGTTTTTATCCCGTCTCCTTTAGGAGTTTTCCACGTAAAATACTTTGTGTCCATATTATCTTCATTTTTACTCATTTCTTATTTTACTGCAAGATTTACCAACAAGTGGTATCAGAGCCATCCAAGTGAAGTTACTGTTCACGACGGAGTTAATGTTCTCATATACGGTACTATTGACGTATACGGTACTGTTCACGGTGCAAATAAATACGACGTAAATAGGTTATGTCTAGGAGGCTGGGGTTTAAGTGGTTCACCCGAGACCCTCCACACTTTTCCTATGAACATGCTTAGTAAGGTGGTTCTGTCTAGGACACCGTCTGGATCTATCATTTGTTGATAGAACTGGTGTATTCATTTATAGTTTTTCTTGGGAATTACCTAGTTGGTACAGTTACTGTACATGTACTGTTCACAGCTATAGTGAAATAGTGAGAGTTAAGCAAATCACGAAATGGCTGAAAAATTCGAAATAGAAAAGTTTAACAGAAGTAATTTCACGTTGTGGAAAATGAATATGCATACAATTTTATAGAATGATAATTGTCTAGTGGCTATCAGAGAAAGATCGCAAGAAATCACGGATGATGGCAAGTGGAATGAGATGGATGGTAATGCTATTGCCAATTTGCACTTGGCATTAGCAGACGAAGTTCTATCACGTATTACAAAGAAGAAAACAACGAAATAAATTTGGGATACTCTAACAAAATTGTACGAGTCCAAGTCACTTCACACTAAATTTTCTTGAAGAGAACACTTTATACTCTTTGGATGGCAAAATCCACACTGGTAACTGAACATATCAATAACCTGCAGCCTCTATTCACTTAGCTTACATCGTTGGATCAGAATATAGCAGAAAATGAACGTGCAGAGATCCTTCTTCAAGGTTGACTTGATTCGTATGATCAATTCATCATCAACATAGTCAATAGTAATGTCGTAGAAAGCCTACGCTTCGAAAATGTTGCAGGCACAGTCCATGAAGAAGAAAGTTGGCGCAAGAACAAGAAAGACAAGTTGGAAAGCTCACAGCAAATAGAAGCTTTGACGATGATGAGAGGGAGATCAACGAAATGTGGCCCCAGTGGGAGTCAAAGTCAACGTGCAGAGATCCTTCTTCAAGGTCTACCTGATTCATATGATCAAATCATCATCAACATAGTCAATAGTAATGTCATAGAAAGCCTAAGCTTCGAAGATGTTGCAGGTGCAGTCCTCGAAGAAGAAAGTTGGCGCAAGAACAAGAAATACAAGTTGGAAAGCTCACAACAAATAGAACCTTTGACGATGATGAG